CGCAGGAGCAGCGCACGGCGCCGCCCGGCAGGTCCCGGCAGCGCTGCTCGCAGCCCCCGTTGCGGTAGGCGCATCCCCCCTCGGGCCCGGCGCACAGGGGCCCCGGGCTGCTCCATATGAAGGTGCCCCCGTCCCCCTTCTGGCAAACGAAGAAGCTGCCCGGCTGCTCACCACCTGGCCCACACTCCACCGTGGCCAGCGAGCCGAAGGGCACGGCCTGCAGGGCGGCGCTCTCGGCCCCGAAGGGGGTGCTGTAGGTCACCGAGCCCGGCCCGGCCAGCGCCACTTGGCGGCACATGCCCTGGAAGCTGAACTTGCACACGTAGCCGCTCACCCCCGAGTCGTTGCAGGGGCCGTCCGTCCAGGTGGGCTCCCGGGAGCCCCGGGAGGCGAGATCCAGGCGCAGGGTGACGCAGCGCTGGGCTGTGCAGGTCTCCCGCGGCTCCGCGTGCCATTTGCTGTAGTCGGCATCATCCCCTCCGGAGGCCCAGGTGAAGCCCCTGAGGCGCTGGTGCCTCTGATAGCACTTGCCTTTCTCCCGGCGCAGCCCCATCCACAGCTTAGCCAGCCCCAGTGCCCTCACCTCATCCAGGGCTAGCAGGTCACCAAGTAGCTGTGCCTCGTCCTGGCTCTTCACGCTCGCCAGGTTGCCCCCGTTGCTCTTGCACTGGTCCTGGGCACCAGCCCAGTTGTGTTTGCCCCAGTGGATGGTGTAGCAAGCTGTCCCCAAGCACTGGACTGCCGCCTCTTTGCCAGCCCAGGAGGGTGCCCACCATAGGAGCCCGTGGCCAAAGAGAACAAAGAGGACTGTGCCCATCCTCGCTGTGGGTCTGGCGGAGAGTGGCAGGATCGGTGCTGTCCTCCCAAGCAACCAGCTGCGTGGCCCAGACCTGCAGGGGACACACGTCAGATGTTAAAACAAAAGAAGACAGGCTGTTTGCCTTTCATATCCCGTTGGCCTAAAGAGCTCGCCCTGCATGCATCCTGTGCTGTTGTGACTTCTATTTATCGCTGGAGACTAGAATTTCCTGTAGTGTATTTTTATTACTGGCGGCTCCATCCTTTCTGTTTGTTGGTCACAACTTCAGATATCTAGGGTTGGTTTTTTTTTACTTCCCCTTTCTTCAACGAAAGACATTTAATTCCAGTTTTAAAAGTTTTATCCTTAAGGGGCTTTCTTTATGTTGGCCCTGTTCTCCTTTCCCTCGGTATGAGAAACTTGTTGGAACGCTGCATTCTTGTGTTGTTTTTCAAAAGTTTAAGCTGTGTATTTGTCAGATACTTTTTCTAACCCCTAAAAGGGTGTTCTAGTTTTCAAACATCTATCATGAAAAAAAAAAGAAAAAACAGAGTCGTGGGATCCCTGATTCTGATGCTGCTTCTAAAAGAAAGTGAATATTTGGTGCAATGTCTCATCCGTACTATTCATTTCAAGTGCATTTTTCCCTCTGCTTTAAATAGATGGGCAAGTCCTTAAATAGGAATTGGGTCGTGAGAATGTCTGAATTGTAAACATGAAGCCAAATTGTTTAAGGGTGATAACCAAGTCCTGCAGTAATGGAGTTTCCAAAATGCAGCCCAAGCTGCCTTTTAATCATTAAAAAAAACGTTGCTTCAGAAACAAAAAAAAAAAGAAAACATTGAACTGCAACTGCATGTGCTGGGCAGATAGAGGATACTTCATTGATATTCCAAGCTAATGGTCTTTGCAGAGGCTCGGTGGCCAGTTGTATCATCATTTCAGTGGGAGGCTGGTCCAAAACCAGTGACGTCAGTGGGATTCTTTCCAGTGACTTCACTAGGTTTTAGATAAGGCCATTTAAAGAGGGGCCAAAGCAATTAATGCTACATTTTCTTGCAAGAAGAATTACCTTAAAAATGCACAAGACTGCTCCTGAAAGTGTACCTTACCCCAGGAATAACAAGGCTTACAAAAAGCATAGCTGTTCGCAAAGTTGAACTGGCTTGTTTATAACAGCATACAAGTACTTCATTGGAGGATCAGAAAGTGTTTTACTGACAGTTAAACCATGTGCTTACTGAGGTGTAATTATCAACAGTTAATATTTTGGAAATAGAGATTAAATGTCAGATTACTTTCATACAATGAGTTACTGGGAACTTGTTCATGTGGTTTTTCTGCAAATGGACGTGTAAACTATCATGTTAACGTGAAAGAGAGAATCTGTATCTAGAGACCTATTTGAGTATTCTGGTGTGGCAGACCCACACCTGACTTACCTGCTGTCTGCAGTGCAGGTGGTCAGGCCGTGCACAGTGTCCGTGCCATAACATGCTGCCTGGGAACTGGGGTTGAACACCACGCACAGCACCAGGAGCTTGCTGCTGCTACTGCTGACACCACTGCCTGCACCGCTCTCAGCAGCGCTGCCACTGCTGCCTCCAACACTGCCACCCACAACACAACCTCCATTGCTGCCACTGATGCTACTGACACTGCCACCAATGGCACTGCCACTGACACCACCACCATCACTACAGATGCTACAACCAGCTCATAAGTCAGTGAGGCTGGCCTCAGCTCTTAGGGCCAGGGGCAAGGCAGGGTGAGCAGGGGGCTGGGATCCGGCCCCAGGGCAACACAGAGCCCCGGGATTGGGCAACTCCCACTCAGACAAAGTCCACATGAGCAAGGGAAGGCTCTCACATGAATGAGCCAACCAGGGCCCAGCAGGGAAAGACCCCATGGGGGTGGGTGCATCACAACCCCCCAGCAAGGCCATAGTCAGGACTCATACATGAAGCACACCAATGGAGAGCCTCTTATAACAATGGGCACCAGAGGAGAGAGGAAAAATGGGGTAAAGTCAGAACCCCTGAAACTCTGATGCCTGGAAGCAAGTGGCTCAATGTGGGGCACTGGAGCCATGCCCTGCCCATGCTGAGACACATTTAGTTGTTCATTTTGTATCTGTGTTAGATTTTTCATCTTGACTACAGTACCACATGGCCAGTGGCCACAGATGGGACACCAAGTGGCTGCGCTCCAAGCGGTCACATTGAACCGCTGAACGCAGCCTACGATCCATTGTAACACCCAAGAGAAATGGGATGGAGTGTCAGGGAGGAAGAGCCCCACAGAAGATGCCAGTGGGGAGCCTGTGCCGGCAGGAAGATTTCAGTCAAGGGAACCAAGTACCAGTCATGGCAGGAGAGTCAGCTCGGGACAATCCAACCCCCCATGTAGCAGTGCAGAGGCCTGCCACACCTGGTTTAGAGACAGAGTTGATATGACTGCATGCCAAAGTAGGTGTGCAAATCTACATGTAAATATGCCCATGACTACTAGGCTTTATTTTGGGGTGTATCCTTCCCTCTTCAAGCATAAAGGGCATTTATAGATGTGTTCCAGGAAGTGGGGGGAGGGGGGGGCAGTGCTTTAATTAGCGAGCCATGCTAATTAAAAGTGCCCAAGTGTCACATGTATCAGCATCCCCACGCTGAAAAATGGTGGTGGGACACTTTGAACTAAAGCTTATTAAACAGGTTTTAGTTTGAAGCACCCTACTGCCATTTTTCAGTATGGGAACGCTGATACATGTGATGCGGGAGGCTGCTGGAGCATGGTACTTTCTGTACTCCAGTAGACTTGATTAATCAAGTCTGCTCAGACACTGGATTTACAGCACAGCAGAGCAGCCTTGCTGTATGTCTTTAGGAGCCCCAATTGCCTGTATTCTACAGGAATTAATGCAAATCCACCTTATTTCAAGATACTGATTTCAGAAGTCCAGTACAGTACCAAGATTAAAGATAGTGAAGGCAAACAGAATGGATTCAAAGAAGGAAGAACTATAAAAGATGCTTCTTTTTTCTCCACTCTTGAGACATTTAAGTGAAGAATGTTAAAATGAACCCACAAGTGAACTTGACCAAGGCAGCTTGAGTAATTGCCGTTGCCAAAAGACAATGAACTGCATCTTCAGCTCATTTGGACAATCATCAGCTTAACAATGATGGTATTAAAGAAGTAAATATCATATCCAAGGAACAAAAGATCATGGAGAACAGAGGATCTTGGCCCAAGGGAAACCATTGCCAGAAACACTGAAAGAGTAGATTAGGTGGGCAGCAGTGATATGAATAACAACAGAGAGGGATGCCTTCACAGCGATGAAGGTGGTCTAAGAGGATGAAAGTGTGGACTATTGAAAGTACGGGCAAGGACAGTGGGTAGGGAGAGACCTCAACAGTAGGAAAAAGTTTAACCCTGCAGAAGAAGTATTTCTTTGTTAGGACGAGGCCAACACTCAGAATTTAGTGCAACAGATGTGGGCAAAGAGATGGTTGGAGTGAGGAAACAAAGTTACTTTTGCAGAAAACTTTGAAGAAGGCAAAATAGAAGTAGGGACCTAGTTAGAAACACTGGGTGCTGACAGACATGCATCCCCTCACTGTTGTAACTCATGGCTCTTTGCAGGAAGTGCCATGAGTTACAGTGTACCTCGCGACCCAACGGATGTTCACTGTCAGGTCCAGGAGGTTGGGAGACTGAGCTTCAGTATGGAGGAGCTGCATGTCTGCAGCCCCCACCCCCGCCTCCTATGCAATGACGGTTCTGATTGTTGTGCAATTGGGCATTTTTAAAGCTCTTTATAGCCCTGCATTTCTGTAAGGGCACAGCTATAGAGTGCTTTCAAGAGGCCGATCTCCCAACAAATGTAACTTCTGTCTGTGCCCAGTGTCAGGGGCAAGGATAAGCCCTGTAACTAAAGGCACTCCAGCCAGAGCTGGAATAAGCAAGTACCAGGGAAGTACCAGAGAAAAAGGAGGGCTGTATGAAAAAGGGTATCTAAGACCCAGTGAAGCATAAGATGTTAATGAAAGCCTTGGTTTCTGTATAACACTAAATCCTTATAGGATTCTGTGTCAAGATACTGGCAATAACTACTATTGGAAAAAAGATATATGAACTTACTAGACATTTAATTAAAGTCATAAAAGTAGTAATGGTCCTATTCCCCTTAGCCTCCCCTCAGGTTTTGGAAAACCTCTGGCTTTGATAACCTTTCACATGACATGACAAGATTGCATTAAGTGTCTTTTCTGGGGGCAGTAAGAGTAGAGGCTAGTTCACACTGAGCTGGGCTTTCACTGTTGAAATCAAATAGTTTTCTCTTTAAGGCCAAACATGAAAAAGGGGGCAAACAAGGGCAAAGCTGGAACATGCAGCTTCTGTCTCTGGTGCTGACTTTTACCTGGAATTTTGTTGTACGAGAAACCCAGGGCTAGCACGTACCCTGAGGATTTTCTTGTCATTTCTTTGTTTCATGTGAAACAGTACAGCAAATTCAACACAAATTCATGGGCTGGTTGTGGTTGACCCGAGCATGTATTTTCTTCAATGACAAAGTTTTCACAGAAAAAAGTGCCAAATTCCAATTACAGCTTCATACTTCTGCCACTGTGCCGGTGAGCTGAACTCTCACCAAGCTTACCCAGGGCCCACCCACTGTAATGCATCTAAGACTGATAATTAAATCTGGACTGTATTAACAGGAGTGTCACTTGCAAATCAAGGGAAATGATTTGCAAGTGACACTTCCATTAATACAATCCAATATGTCCTTGGCTCATTTTGCAACAAGAACATACTGTTGGCTTATATTCAGCTCCACTATAACATTCAGTTCACTTTCATATTCAGTCCACCATAAACCCCAGGTCCTTCTCTGCAGTACTGCAGCCTAGCCAATCTTTGTGATTTACACCGAACTGGTAAACAGCAGCTGCAACTGATGAAATAAATCTTTGCAGGTCTTATGCTGCACTATTAGATGGTCTCTATTTCCAGAGTTATTTTATACAACAATATATGAATACTTCAAATACACTTAGAAGTGGAGCTAAAAAATTGTTAAACAGCATTTTGTGATGATAACACTAGATAATGGATTTGTGACATTTTATTTTAGGGCACATTCAGGGCACAATCCTGTATTTTTCTTTTCAACCAAAATCCCTATTGAATTGAAGATGTGGATGGCTGTATCAGAAATCTGTTGATTTCCATATTTACTCAAATCCAAAATGACTTCAAATTTAAGATGACCCCCACAAAATTAGATTCTACACATGAAATAGTATCACATTCTTATAATTTTCCATGTAGAAAGCCTAATTTTTAAAGGGTCATCTTAAATGTGTGTGGATCCTCCCACATACACAAACAGCTGCAGCAGGAAGAGCAGCAGCAAGGGGGAAAGTGGGGGGGGCAAGTGGTGGGAAGGCAAGTGACAGGGGAACAGGCAGCTTTAGCATGGCCCCTTGCCCCTGTGCACCTTGCTGCCCTACCTACTTCTCTGCCACCTATGCCTGTCTCCCTTCCTCCCTCCTGCAGCCTTCCCTCCTGTGCCTTCCCCCTGATGTCTGTCCCACACCCCCCTGCTGCTTGCCTCCTGGCCACTTGCAGCCACCCTGCTGCCTGTCCCTACCACTACCAAATGCTGTGCTCCTGGATGGCTGTGCTGGGTCCCTCACCACTCTGGCTGCAGGCTGTGTTCAGTACTGCTCCCTGACTGCACTGATTCTTTTGTGCCTCCCTGGCCCAGCAGGGACCAGGAGAACAGCACAAGACCCAGCAGGGAGCCAAAGAGCATCAAGGGAATCAGCACAGAGCCAGGGAGCAGTGAGGCAGTCTGAATGGAGTCAGAGAGCAGCACAGGACCCAGCTCTGCCTGAAGGTACTGCATTTTTACTTGATATATGATTCTAAGGCGAGGCTTTGTTTTCCCCTTGTTGAATGGAGGGAAAACCTCATCTTGCAATCAAGTAAATACAGTCACTTTAAAAGTTTAGCAAGTTGCTTCACTGGTGTTTTCTGATTTTAATTTAAAAATTCAAGAAAAGTTTTTCAAAAATGAACTATTCAACTAGAGCTACTTAAAAGTATTGGAAAGAAGATCATACAAAGGAGGGCTAGGAGGAACCTCATGAGGTCATCTAGTCCAGCCCACTGCTGAAAGCAGGATCATCCCTGACTATACCATCCCAGTCAAGAGTCTAACTTGTCTTGGTGATTTTCAGCAATGGAGTTTTCACAGCCTTTGCAGCTAGCCTGTTCCACTGCTTATCTACCCTTGTAGTAAGGAAGTTCTTCCTAATCTCCAACCTAAATTTCCTCTTTGGCGGTTTCAGACCATTGTTCCTTGACCTGTTTGCAGTCACAGAGAATAGTCTATCTCCATCCTTTTTTAATAGCCATTCAGGTATGTGAAGACTGTTATCAAATCCCCTATGAGGTTTCTTTTCTCCCAGCAAAATAATCATAGTTCTTTTAGCTGTTCTTCACATGAATGTTTCCAAGGCCTCTAATCATTCTTGTCATTTTCTTCCTGGCTCATTTTAATCTGTCCACATATTTCTTGAAGTCCAGGACCAAAACTGGACACAATGCTCCAGGTGAGACTTTACCAGTGCCAAACAGAGCAGCAGAATCATTTCCTTTGATCTGCAAGTGAC